GCCTGGTTCACTCATTCAGTGGCTGTAAGAAGTTTAACCATTACTTTATTTTTTGTATTATTTCTGTGTTTGTCGTGGATGTATTATTTTGAGGGGTGGGTATTGAGGGAAGATTCTTTCCTGGTCCATTTTTTTTTAAAGGCAGAGGGTCTTGCTTTTTTAATTAAAAGATTCAGCCCCCCTCCACACCCTAATCATTTTTGTACAATCCCTTATAATGCCCCAGTCTTATTATTCGTTAGAAAGGCAAGGCAAGACAAAAACACAATCTTCTGTACACAAAGAAGGTTGTTGTTTGTTAAAGTTATCATTGGTTAAGGAGGTAGAAACTCCCTCTGTTGCTTAGTGACCTCGTAACAAGCTTTATGTGCCTGGTTCAGGACCAGGACTCACTTGTATAAAAAGTGGTATTTGCTGCTCTTGCGTTAATGGCCTATGAGAGTAGATTGATCAAATGAGGACAGAACTGGGTCCAGTAGCTCTGACACGTCTAGATAACTAAGCAGGATGTGGCTGCGTGGCTTGTGCTTAGCAAAAACTGAAAACATCAGCATAACATTACTAGGAATGATATTTGTCATAATCTTTGTACCAGATTTTATGGGTTCACATAATTCATCTTGTTTCATTTGAACAGTCTGCACAGAGCATATTGGTAGACCAACAGTGAAAAAAATCCAGGAGAATGTCTAGATTAGAGGAGGAGGAACTGGATATTCTCACAAAAAATGGAGAAAAGAAAGTTGAGTAATTATCTGGCAGTCAACTGGAAAAAAAAGTTCCACTATGAAAATAGAATTTTCTCCATCCTAAGTGACTGGTAACATTACAGTCTGTACCGGTGCTGTTCTTAATGTCCTGTAAAGAACACCGTACAGAAGTAAACTCATCCAACAGATACCCCCTTTCTCCTGCACACATTACTGCTCTGACCCACACATTGTCAAAGTCAGGACACCCTGCGAGCTCCCCCATCTAAACCCATTAGTTGCAACGCTGCTTTGGAATCCACTGGAGCATTCCTCTTTATCTAATATCCGCTGCATTCAACAGATATCACTTTGAGGTGATGTGATCAAACAATGGTACCTGTGTCCATTTCACTCATCTGAAAACGCAGAGACAGTTCAAGGTTGTTGGGCGTCTGGACATGTCAAACAGATTCAGGTGTAAACAGGAAGAAGAGAAGACATGGGGGAAAAAAGAAACTATATCCATTTAATAAGATATTGATCCTGAGCCTTTAAAAATTGAGGATGCCAGTTTTCAGGCAACTGAAGGACAGCCCATCAGCTTTGATTGAGTGGAGGAGGTCCCGAAAGGATGACCAGCAGCATGACAACTACACCTGTGTCCTTGTTTAAAGAATGCAAGTTAGAACAGCAGAGCATCTTTCCTGTGCAATCACAATAAGTCAGTTATAACGAGGTATTAAAAAACAACCCCCAGCTCTTGCACAATTAAATAAATTTTGTACAATTACCAATAAACAATATCTACAATATAATACTCCAGACATTGAAATATGTGCTAGTGCCAGGCATAATGAAATATGAAGTGAGGGTACAAAATCACAGCCTGTGATGTATTGCTGTGCCAGTTTTTATTCACCTGCACAGATGCACAATGTCCAGAATAGAAAAATGTCTGATTGAATATGAAAGAAGGATTGGAACACAAAAGGACATTGTATTGTACGAGCCTCTGGACGATCCCCGTCTCTTTAATTGTTCCCAGACCTCGTTAGGTCATCCTCAGTGCTATGTGAGCTGATTGTAAAGGGGTGTGTGTGTG